TGATACATTTTTCTTCTGCATAATCATCACATTGCCCTGTGAGCTTTTAGCATCTACAGCAACCTGTGCTAACACCAACACCCAAGCGTTCCCTACCCATCGCATGCAGTACAGTCTGCTTTTAACTGGTTTGAGGTCGACACCTCACAGCTTTGCTCCATCCCTCCCATTCCACCGTTGAAGGAGGCAGTGAGCAGTCACCTCCCACTTACCCTCTCCCGCCACTCACTATTTTCTAGCCAATTTCACTGCTTTACATTTACTAAGTCTAATTGAAGCCAACAAGAACCAAAGCTTCATTCCCTTTATGAGACCACCATGAGAACTAGCAAAGTCTTACAATAACCCAAAAATGAGAATAAAAGAGTGTGAGCCACTGCTTTCCACCAGACAAAGACAAGGCCAAGCTTATTGTGATTGCCCAATACTAGCAGAATCTAATATAAAATGTTTCATTAACAGCACAGTCCAAGAACAAAACCTTAGACAAAGCACTGAACGCTGATCAGATCTCCCAATGTGAGCCTATGGAAACAGGCTTGATCCTGCCAAGTACTGACTGCTCACAGACCAAAGCACTAGGTCACACGCTTGAATTTTAAAAGCAATATTGCCATCAAAGCAGGAGCAGGAGCCTACGCACTTTGCTCCATCAGAGTGGTGAGTAATTAGTAACACCAAACCCATCAGTCACGTATGAACATCACCCCTCAGCACCAAGGGAGCTGCAGGTGCTCTGCTAGGTCTCATCAGGACCAGCGCCATTTGTCAGATGTGTCAGAATAAGACTTCTCCAGTTTTTGCTAAGCCTGCTAAACTTAAAATACCATTTTAAAGTAGTTCCACTTTTCTACAGAAACACCTTTACTAGGACTTCTAGGGACTTAAAGTTCTCAACCACAGTTTGTATGATCTGAGCTGTACCAATCATACACGCCTGGTTCTGGTCATGATGCTTCATGTTTTATCAACCATATGTTTTAATAGCACAGCAGTGGGGCTAAACAGGTTAGAAGCCTAGTCTGTAGCACAATTTCAACCAGCAAAAATGGCAAAGCTAGTCCACATAATATTTGCTTTCATGAGAGCTGTGATTTCAGCTTCTGAGCTCGTGTCTTACAGCGAAGGGCAGGAATATAGTGCAGGGCTTTGAATATGCCTCTCATTTTCCTAACCATCTCTTAGGAACAGTGCCATGTCAGACACTGGAAAGTGTGTCCAGTGATGGAATTTTTTGTGCTTTTAAAGCATCATTTTGGAACATTTACAACTGACTATTCTTTTTCTTATTAAAATGTCTGTTGCCTTAAATGTCCATGAATATGGCACATTTGACTATAATCAAACTGCACACGTAAATACACAAAACTAGAAAATTACAAAACAGATGAAGAATCTGATTTTTTTTAAAGCTGTAATTCTGTTTCTGTTGAATTTCTTTCTCAAATAAGTGTTTCTGTGCTTTTAAATAAGAAATTGTGAACACATTTGTACAGAATGCTAAAATTAAAAGTTCAAAGAGGGAACACTCACAATGTGGTATTTGCAGCACAAAATTTTCTAAGCTAGTTTGTAATCCAAAGAAACACTTTACTCCACCCAAAATTTGCTTTCTCTCTGTCTCAAAAGTCCAATTATTAATTTTAATATAAATGGTACATTCTTCACCTTCTTTTATATATCTTTTGGACATATTAGTGTGCCAGCTAAGCACACTGAGATAAGACACTGTAAATAAAAGTAGATCGCAATTTCCGCCCCCTCCCCAACCCCAAACATGGGGGTGGGGGGAAAATCTGCAATTAAAACACTGAGCAGCTAAGATCCCACTATGATTTTGATTCTACACTTGAGACTGTTGGAATGTGCTAAGCTGTTCCACAAAGCTCATTTTTCTTACAGGAAGTGATCTAATATACAAAGTACTTTACAATTTTCAATCAACAGAAATACAGATATGAATGTATTAAGCCAATATCTATAAAGCAAGACATTAGGTCACTTCCTGACAACTAATATCTAAAATCGACATTTGTTACTGCGCAAAAGCATGCTTATACAGCATTAGTTGAAAGAAGAACTTTGTTTTTTTTATAGAGTGGGTATATTGGCTCTGCTACCTCTGTAATCATTGCTGATGCATAAACCCTTCCCTGCCACTCCCCTGCATGTCACCCTCCAACATCCCTTCCTCACAGCTCCGGTGCATTTCAGTACTGTTAGTTAGAAAACAAGCTTTTTTCCTTTTTTTTTTTTTTTTTTAAGTTGGCATATTCAGAAATCTTTGTGTGGTAAAACAAAAACTTGGTTAGATAGTCCAGCAGTGAATTTAAGAAGCATTTTGCAAGAGGTTTGGGTCTTTTTGGAGGGCGGGGGGGGCACGGGGAGGAGGGAAGGAGCCCTTTTTGAGGGAGAAACAGAAAAGGAAGGGGGCTGTTTGTTTTTCAAAGCAGCCTGACAAAAACATCCCTTGCAAGAAAAAAAAGAGGCCTCCATCAAAATGGTGTCAGCAGGGGAGGAGGGGACAGACCTGGCAGTAATGGAAAGTCTGTTCCATAACAGGAGGCTCATAGGCTCATAGTACATTAAATATTTATAACGAGCAAATGTGCTCGGTCTTTTTTGTGCCCGGTCTGCGACCCCCACCCCAGTTTGACTGAACTGGGAAAACATTAACAGCACTTACATATTAAGCGTACGGAAACCTGGCAGCGTGTAAATGTTGCAAGAAAAGCCAGTTGTGCCAAACACCAGGTAGATAACCACGAGTAGGGAAGAGACAGAAACTGGAGCGAGAGATGGAGGGGCTGGAAAGGCCATCCTGCAGCCACGCCGAGCGACGCGCGCCAGGCGGCCACGCGCCATTTACTTGCTGGGTTTTTCTCAGTACTCAAAGTCTCTCGCTGAACAATCCTAACCACAAAGCAAGCTGTAATCTAAAAATCAAGCCGCAACTTGCTTTAATGTTGAACCAAAACTGCGATGACTAAGAAATAAAGCCAATGTTGCTGAACTGGCTACGGCTGCCTTTTCTGTAACATGCATAAATGTAGGTTGATCATTATCATTTAAGCTGGAGTTTAAAATTTTTCCCTTCAGTATTCAATTCTGGCTGTTTGTGAACGATATGTGGCACAAATACCGATTTCTGATTTTAAGTTTTTACTCTAAACCAGAAATGCTCAGCTACTACACGTTGGTCAATACAAACAACAGGTATTTTCCAGTAGAGCAAAAACTGAACCAGTGTAAGGTTAAAGACACAACGGCACACTGCTGTGTCTTACCATTATTCATTTGTCTTTGGTGGTTTGTTGAGCTATATAGCATTGATATTCAACTCAGACAAGCATGTAAAGAGACAGCTATATACATTTAAAAATAAGTAACTTCAAAACACTATAAAGACAATACAATGGAGAAACAAAACAAAGAAAATAGGCAGAAATCCAGTCCAACCAGGTATGAACCTGACTCAATAGAAACCACCTAAGCTTACAATAACCTTCTGAAGAAACAGATGAGTCCAAACTATCTTGATTGCAGAGTCAGCAATTTCCTATCTATCACAAATTACTTAACTGCCTAAGTAACTTTGTGCCTCTCCTACCCAAAGATCTTTCCCTGTAAGCACAGTCTTGCAGCATATTATAAGTAAGATTTTTGTGGTCCTCCGAGAAGCTCAGTGACTGCCAGTCACTAAACAACTCAGTAAATCATACTACTTATTCTGCACAAGAATCAACAATAGTGGTCTATAAACCCTGACAATGGAAATCTCACACTTGCTTAGAGAATTTTTCCTATAATTAGCAGTTTATCCAGAGAACTCACTTCCTAAACATGACATGTATACTACACATAAGTTTTACATAAAACAACTTGCAATAAGATTTACAAAATAGCTACAAAAATAAAGGCTGTGCTTATGAATTCTGTAAGGTAGATGCAAATTCCGGATGGAACAGGATCTCCAGACTTTGAAAATATCATCAATCCAGGAAGGAAGTTTAGCTCCAGTGGATACTTCATCAGTGTAAACTCTGTTCAGGTCAAACATTCTAAACAAAAAGCCACAGTAACTCCACACTCAACAATTTACTGCTAGAAGAAAAGCTGGAGTGTTGTTAAGTGGTTCCTCACTCTTCTGCTCATTCACTTCACTGTACATTAAAGAACATTAACGAAATGTTCAACGTTAAATATTGTTTAAGTGGTAACGTTCATTCTTCTGAGTATGTTCTGGTGACAGATAAGAGCTTAAAATCACGATGGCCTTGTTTTTTGTCTTTTTAAAATCACAGTATGCATCTTTTTCTGCCATCTGTTTAAAACTGATTTAATTAAATAGGAAAAGTCATATTTTGTTGTTTCATCCTATATGAGATTCTGAAACCTATCAGGATGGTCTTTATTTCAGGCCATTATTCCCAATCTAAGTTGCAAACCCTCTGTATTTTATTGCATTAGAGCATGATAACTTTGTGGACTTGGAAGGTTTTTTTAGTCATTCTACCAAACAGCATAAAATATATATAATTAATTTAAAACACTTATCTTTTTAGTTCTATTTTTCTTTAGCCAAAGATGTTAGCTAAAACTATCTGCCAAAGTATTACACTTCAACTACGAGTCTTTTAGCCTTTTATTCCTTTATAGGCTGTCTCATTACAGAATGGACAGACGAGCTGTAGACATTTACTCATAACCACAGAACACCTTAAATCAGAGTTAGAAGTGATGGATTTTTTTCCTTGTAACTCTCATTCTTAGATGATGTTGCACCCTGCAGCACAGCTAGATTTAATAAAGTAATTCAGAGAGCTAGAAACTACATTTAAAGTAACATGCACACCTTGCTTTCAATCTGCTGAAGCTGCCTTGAGCTGAACACCAGTCATTGTACATTCACAAACCAAATACTCATTCTTAAATTTGTTCCTCTTACTGAACATTTTGAAATAGTGATTTGTTTTCTCTTCTCCAGCTTCTTCACATACCTATGGTTTCTGGCAGGTCCAAGAGCTCATTGTGCTGCAAGTCAAGGTTGGTGATCTGCATGCAGCTTCCAATCTCTTCTGGAAGATGTTCAAGCTGATTGTGCGCTACATCCAGCGTTATGAGGTTACACAACTCACCTAAAAACACACAAGAAAACCAAAACGTCAAGTTCTTTAATGTACAGCTCTAGACAATGACTTCCACACGGAGATTAATAGAATCAGACAGATTTTGGGATAATCTGAAAAAAGCTATGGCTACCATGAAGTTATACATATAAAATAAGGCATTACAGGATCATAATTTCATCAGTCAGATCTAAAACCCAATCAACAATTTTGAAAAACTCAGATAAAGCTATCATAGATTCTCTGAAGAAATCTTATTTATTTGTTGATTTTCTTCTGACAGTTCAAGCTGTGGAATGTGAGTACAAAACCTGTACCTCACACTTGTTTCAGGCTGACCAGAAGTTTAAAACATCACGGAGAAAGTGAATTGTATTGAATTTTGAGAAATTGAGATCTGTTTTTATACCATGAATTACTTTCAGGCACAAAATCAACAATTAAGAGAGATCAAAATTATTTGGCTGGCAACCTAGATAATCCACCCAAAGTCCTGAGTGCTATTTTTAGTCATCACAAAAAAGGCAGCATAAGTAAACTGTAAACCTATTCACACAGAGTATTATTTTAATATATGCAGAGCTATAGCAAATAAAAGTTTGAAATAAAAGGCTTCTCTGTTAAACCTTAAAAAAGATTGAATTTGCTTGAAGTTTAGAGCTACTTTACACTGAACTGCTTCATTCCTGACATTTACACATTAATTTAAAAGTACAGCTAGGCACAACTCTCTACATACAGTAGTTTTACCTATTTTAATGACAAACATACTGTGTTCTGAGCCACAGAGCATGTTGGATTTAAAAAAAAAAAAAAAAAAAGGCATGTGCATGAATACAGGTGTATGCATTCACATTTTTTGCATCTGATGGAGGTGAAATTAATGCAAATTATTTGAACAGCTTCAACTCTATCCAGTAAAGATGAGGTCACTGTATTTGTGTGTAAGAGCATGAGTCAGTGAGTAACAAATTTGGAAGAGTAGCAAATTCCTTTTGAGGCGCTAATGTCTATTTTTAAGCTTCAGTGTTGTATCTTTGACACAATCCTTTAAGGATTTTCCCACAGGCCTGCAGGACTACCCTGGGCAAGTTCTGACGTGTAGAGTGTCTACCCATTAGATCAGCAGATAATCATGTGATTTAATAAATCGTAAAATATTTATGAATTCAGACTCTGTATTGAGTTGCAGGTGTCATGCAGCCACAATACTTACTATGTATCACGAAACAGTTGTGGAAGGCCAGCAAAAAAAAAGCCAACCCCAACAGCTTCATTATTCCATTTTTCTTAGATTGTTAACATATAACTGATCTTATTTCCTGCATTTATTAACCCAAATCGGGATGTTTTTCTAGAAACTATGCAGATGGAAATGTAAAGGTGGTACTTAAGCAGCTCCTCCATCACTGTGTGTGTGTCCCCTCTCTTAAGTCAGCATTCAAGTGTATTCCAGGCAACCAGAGTCAACAGTCAAACATGTTGTATCCAGCACTGCATAAACCACGTTTCAATGCCATTAATATGCAGAAGAAAACAACTTTAAAAAAATTGAGCAAGAGTTAATGTTCTGTGGTAGGAGCGTCTTTTTGTTATTCATGAAAACAAGTAGGCAAGGTGTAGAAAGCAATAGAAGGAGGAAGAAAAGCTTGAGGAAGACTTCAAAATCCCTCCCTTTAAACAAACAAAGAACCCCCAAATCTTTACTAAGATAACTCAAGAACCTTCACGCACTTTGGGGCAGTAGTTTTCACTTCATGATTGCTGTTTTCATTTGTTTTCACTTCAGAACTAAACCAATGATGTCAAATTTGAAATATGGCATAAATTTCATTTCATCACACTGATTTCTCATTTACTTGACTCTTCCCACTCTACATCTGCTGAAGTCGAAGCAAGACTTGTTTTTCTGCAGCAACATTTGCTGTACTTCATTTTTGCACCTGCCGAAAACTTTGACAACAGCAAGCTATGTGTTTGAAACAAACATCTTGCTAGCAAATTCTGAGGAGGGAAAAAAAGAGAGATGCCTATGTTTATTTAGACAATTAAAGGCAAGCTAACACTTTGGTTTAATTTGGATACCCATACTTAATACTGTTATATTAAGGATGCAGGCATTATTCTAAAAAGCAACACTGGTAAACACTTAATAAAAATTTTGAATGTTAAAATAGATTGAGAACTGTCCAACAAATTTTAGACTTTAGAACAGAAATCAAGCAAAAGTTAAAGCCCTATCATGAAGTACAGTGACTTAAGGAAAGCAATTTCAAGAGAGAGTATAATATTCAGCTTTTAGTTCACATTGCTCAGTAGGGAATCGTGCTCTTGGACATAATAATACTTATGGTTTGACAGCATCTCACCAAAATGTTCTTTTTTCCCCCTAAGGGCAGAAGGAGAGGGGAAGTGAAGTGCTGTTGGCACTGAAATTCTTTCAATACTTTAACTTGGATTGCTGAGACACAACACAGAGAGTGTGCAAGTCAGCAAAAAGCACTCGAGGTACATCTCTCCTGTTGTTCTCCATGACGTATGGAAAAAAATTCTTACATCCAATACGCTTTACAAGGCGAAAAATGTTTAGGTGATGTGGTAGAGGCTCATCTTCACATGCAAAGGCACACGGAAGACCAGCAGTGGATGGGAGAACCCAAATACTGGCTGTCGCAGGAGAGCCATCAGCCCCATGGCCAGTGTGAGACCCATCACAGTGAGTAAATGGAAAGGCTCTCCAGAGCACCTCACAGACTGAGGGCTGTTACTGCCTATGGGACGTGAACACCTACTATGAGGTGCAAGGAAAAGCAACTTGGGATGATAAGAGTTGCTACGGGATCTTTAGGGAAGGGGAAAGGGAGGAATCAATGTGGTTTAGGAAGGACAAGTGTGGGAAGATAGAGGCATAAGGAAATAAAAGGGTCCAGTCCTTTACAAACCAATGCTGGTCACGCCCTGTGGCTCATGAGCACCATCTGCCCCGTGTTCTCCTTAAACTCTAACTATTTTCCTGGGTGAGAGGCTCTCTGTTCTGCGTGCATGGAGGTCTAAGTACCAGCAACACTGCAGTTAACGTGACCAACACTACTGAAAACATCCCAGTACGTGGGGACCAGAACCACTCTGGGTATGGAGAACGCGCTGCCGCCAGGCCAGCAGCTAAAGAACTGGGGCAGCTCTTTCACCGGCTGACTGACGGCAGTGGTTTACCCCGTGAATGGACACACTGTGCACTGCACTGCTGCACAACAGCAGCTCTTTCAAAAATTATGCCAGGATAAACACATGGTATAAACAATCGATACAACAAATAATGATCTGCAAGAACAAAGAGGCCAAACTTAAGGCCATCTGCACAATGCTTTTCCTAGGAGCCGATGTAAAGCCAGCTTGTTTCAGTCATTGAAAGTGTCCTTCTTATTGTCTGAACAGTGGCAACTGTACTGAAGGAAATGCTTCTCCAAAAAAGGTGAAAATAAGTTTCACCAAGGTACAACTGAAATTTGGCATTTTTGCTTGGCCAGGGTTAGAAGCATATGTCAAAATCAAAAAGAAAAGTTTTCCTAAAAGAAAGATTTGCTCAGGTACAAAAAGAAAAACAGCTAATGAGTATGGAGCTCATGATCTTACTCATACTAAAGAATCAACATTTGCTCTTTTCTGGTGTACTACATAAACAAACTTTGCTGAAACACATTCATATCTTAATCAATTTAACAGAAATACACCAGCTAGAAACGTGCTGCAGCTCAAAATCAGCCTTACCCAGAAAGCAGTTTACTAAAGAAAAACCCGTTCCCGTTCACCACGTACAGAACTCCAGCATCTCTTCACCAAAGGACTGTTCGAACACCCGAAATCACTGGAGTAAGGCAAGCACTACTTTAGGGAAATACTAGTCACAGGTAAAAACGAACTAACTCTTTTCGCCACAAGTAATGGCCAAAATAGACAGATCTTAAGCTCACAGTAGTGAATAAAGGATTCTCTATGGACTATTTGCAACTGCATTAAAGGGACAAGCATCCTCAGGACAATCAGAAAATAAACTAAGGTGGCTGGGGTTTGCAGTTGGGTTTTTCTCCCTCCCCCCCCCCCCCTCCCCTTTTTTTTTTTACTACTTTTTAAAACTATATTGCACTGTAATTGCAAGGGGAAAAAAAGCAATTGAAGCTCAAAATCTGCCAAGAAAGCAGACAGAAATTGCATGTACTAGCTGGCTTGACAATAAAAGATTTTGAAGTAGAAGTAGTGCCCATATGAAACACATAAAGCAGTTTCTCTATAAATCTTCACAAAACAGTTACATCCTATTATGTAGTTTTTAAAAACTTGTATTTTAAAAAGTTCTACAAGATAAAAATTTCAGATGATTCACACGCATTTTCAGATAAAATAGTTTGCAAAGACTCCCAACCACCTTCCAGTTAAAAACACTGTTAAAAATACAGCTAAGCATACATCTCAACAATCCTTAAAAAAGATGGGGTGAGCAATCACCTCACTGTTGTTCTCACATGCACGGAGACTAAATGTTATAGTATGACAAAGCTAAATATACCTGCTGAAAAACCCCAGCATTATGAAATGACTAATATTTTCTGCATAATGAGGCAGAATTATAGTCCCATTACATGGCCAACCTTGAAAGCCTGTTATGACAAGAGGACCAAGTTACATGCCCTAACTTACATCCCTCTGAAAATTCTTCTTGGCTATTCAAAAAACAAAATATGGATTCATTAAAAAATATAAAAGTACACACAGATTAACAGTCATATAGGGAGACAGTACAGGTCAATAGTAGAGGCTTCAGTGCCTCCTACCACTAATGCACTCAGTGGGCAACACTCTTGGGACGGCAAACACAATTTGTAATATAGCCTGTTTTCCACTGGATTAACTCCATGCCTGCCCATGCTTAAGCAGATTGAAAATTATGAAATCCTTCACGACGTGATAAATCCTGGGCCAGATGACACAGCAAGAGGATCAACACTCCTATG